AGATTAGGAAGAAATTCTTTCCAGAGAGGGTGCTCAGCCATTGGAATGGGCTGCCCAGGGAAGTGGTGGATTCTCCATCCCTGGAGGTTTTTAAGAGACTGGATGTGGCATCAGTGCCATGGGCTGGGAACCACAGTGGGGTTGGATCAAGGGTTGGACTTGATGATCTCGGAGGTCCCTTCCAACCCAGCTGATTCTGTGATTCAATGATTCTATTTATTTCAGTTATATTATTAATCCCCTATTTATTTCCGTTATAAATAGGTGATTAACGATATAAATAAAATTAAAAATCAAATCTAAAATAAAGAGGTAATTTATTGGTTTGGACACTGGGAGATTGGGCTACACACCAGGTGGTGCTACTGCAAGGTGGTGTGGTGAGTCTAATTCTTGGGTTGTTAACATCATTCTAAGGTATTTAGGAAAAAAAAAGGAAGGAAAATGGCAATTTATGTAAAAAATTCCACTGTTTCTGACAGCTCAAGAGACACATTTTGCTGACTGTTTATGAAATAAATGCTGGATTATATAAATATGTAGTTTACTAGTAGGGGTCTACTAAAATCTACTGAATCAGATTAAAACACCAAGACAATTGCACCTGATGTAACAAAAGGGGAGTGGGGTGAAAATTAATGTATCAGGAGTAACTAAATCCTGAGTACCACAGATGGATAATGGAGGGGAGACACAGAGCTGGGTGCAAAGTGCTGAGAGGCCAAAGATTTCTCCCACAAAATGCAGTGTGTAGCACAAGCAAATCCACTAAAAAGTCATCTTGGCATGTGAAAAACAGAGCACAGACCTAAAAACTTTTGTACAAGAAAATGTGATAGTTTACACTGTTATCTGCAAGCCAAACCACTGCATTGTAACCTTAAAGTAAGCTTTCAAGGGAAAAAAAGTTAGAAACCATAACACTGTGAGGAGAATATAAAAGTGCAATGAACTGTGAATGCTAATTAAAAATACTTCTCATCAGTACTGTTTGAAAAAAGCTGCCACCTTTTTTTCAGAAGGAATATCATATTAATTAAAACACTGAGCAGACCTAAAGTTGGAATTGCATTAAAAAAAAAAAAAAACCTGAATATAAGCCAGAGGTTGAGAATGTAGGAGTTTGACCAAGAAAAACAGCTACAGAGAACATGCTATTGCCAATATTGATAGAAATAAAAGGGTAGGGATATTCTCCTGAGTGAACCAAACCTGCAGGAATTCTGGTAGTGATTCATTACTAAGGCAAATCTTGGCTTTTGTAGCAGTTAATTAAAAAGAGATCAATAAGCACTCCTGTTGTGTATCTGGGAAGACAAAGATGTTTGCTATAGTTGAGACTATTAAATATTTCCAGATCAAGAGTAATTTAGGATGACATTAATGAGTTGACACTAAGGTTCCTAATTTGATATTTGCAAATCCGTGTAATTTGTATCCAGTTATTTCAGCAGAGCTGGATGGGGAACATGGAAATCACTTTTTCAATTTTTTGGGAAACAAGGGCAGCTGTCAGAGAACCTGAAGAAACTTAAGAACCTTTTTAGAAGTAAATGAGATAATCCAGGTAAATTACAAGCATGATGTGGATCTAGAGAAATTTAATGGAATGGTTAATACAGAATCCAATTAATAAATAATTAAGGAGAGTAATATAATTAATATATATCACTCTGGCCTTATGGTAAAGTTAACTTATTTCTCTCTGGGTTGTTGATTAAAGTAGATTAAAGATAGTTATAGTATAGTAGATGTCTGTAAAATATCTTACTTAGTAGCATGAATTTGAGCAGGCAGTGAGAATGAGGAAAAAAACCACATCAGTTATGGAAGACTAACTCAGATTGGAAATCACATGCACATTTTTTGGAAGGCACAATCTTGTTAGTAATTGAGTACATCCAGCCTTACTGGCAATTTCTTAATCAGCGCTGTAGGTAGAAATCTAGAAGGGAAAAATTTATTTCAATTACGTCCAGCAGAACTGGCAACGATGAAATTGGCATTTTAATCCAAAATCATGGGATGCTTGTGTTTTCTGTCAGCTGGGAAATCAAAGGGAGGGACTAGAACCCAAGAGACCTGCACACCAGTGGCCAGGAGAATCTGTGTAAATAAATGCATGTACACATCTATCCATATTTGTGACAGCAGGGAAACGCTCCAGTTTTAGAACTGCTGTTTCAGTGATCATTACACTGAATAGGAGCATTTTTGGGAGGGTAAAATATAACTAACTGTTCACTTGTTGACTGTTCTGAGGGTTTCTTTACATGCTGCTGTCTGGCTGAAGCAGTCATGTTTTGTGCAGCACCAGGAGGATGTCTCTGAGCTGTCAGAGCTGGAAGAGATGGGCAGGAGAACTGGTGACATGGTAAAAGGAAAAGCCTAAATCACACAAAGCATTTCCTGATGTTAGGCCATGGAATAGAGAGGGTA